AGGGGAGGGGGAGTAGGGAGTCGCAAAAATCTCGCTTGTAAACTTACACTCACCATTTTCTTCGCAAATATATGTGAGTTCCACAAAAACAGCATTATATTTTAACATGTATTAAGATAGAACATGAATCAAAAATGAATAAGAGAAAACAGAAAATCTGGAAAATGCGATAAATGACTGAATTAAGTATCTAGCTTTGATAAATACGATATCAACTAATCATTAAACTAATTTTCACGCATGTGTTTGAGCAAGAACCTTTTATTAAACATTCTCTCTAGATATTCTTATTAAGAATAATATGAATTGATCTAAAACTGTGAATTTAAAAGACAAAAACTAATTAATTCGCACGAAATTCTACAAAGCTTCTGAATCTTCAAATGATTCTTCAATATTATGAAAACATAAAATGAGAACCAATTAATTTAAAACGTCACGTCAAACACGTAGAAAAACATATAAATGAAAATCAACACCTGTGATCCTTGTCTGTTTGTCCTTAATTAGAGAAGAGTTCAAATGTAAAATTATTCAGTTTTCAAAATGCCAATACACGATGAGAACCACCTATGATCTAAATAAGAACAGTTTCTAATGATGACTATTCAAATAACAATGGGTAAACAACAACCTTGAATATTTTGGTACAATGGATATTTTGTCGTTTTTTTCTTTGATATTGCCAATAACTTAATGAAATAAATGAAGGAGACAGGAAATATTTAGCAAGTGAAATAAAAGATGATGACCGATTGAACAACAGACAAATGATGGATCATCTGACAATAATATTTTTGTGTCAAAATTAATCGAATATCTGCTTACATTTGCTCTAGATAAAATTTTCAAACGTTGTACATGTTTATCAAAAGAATTTCTTATGCACGATGAATTTCTTTCTCATCTGAATTCATGCAAGAATAATAGTTTTCAATCGCATAAAAATGATTGAATTTCTTTGTAACTGTCGTAAAATCGAGTAATTTAGATCAGCGGTTTTTTCTTTCAAAGTTACTACCACAGAAAAATGAATTTATTATAAAAAGCTTTCATCGAGGTTACACGTGTTTCTAAAATGTCATTCAATAAGTTTATTTTAAAATAGTTCTTTTTGTATCTCTTGAATCTCTTATTGTTCTAGCTTCGTAAAATACAACAATATTATCAGGATAAAAAATAGACGATCAGAGAAAATTCTGTTTTTCTTTTTCGTTTCTAGAATATTTTCTTATGTACAACTGACATTTGTTTTTCTAGAAAAATAATTATATTTGACCTGAATATTTAACGATATATCCGCTGATAAAAACATATATCATTACAATATGATAAAAACACAGCCGACTGAATGGTGTCAGATTACTTAAACATTCATAGATTATACTTATTTCTTCTAAAAACTATGACCAAAATCATAATTTATTCATGTCAAATTTATTTTCATTATATAAATGCTTTCAGTAAGTAAAATAAAATTAAAGCGAATAGGTGTTCATGAAGATATTCAAAAATCTTGCAAAAAATAATTAAATGTAGTATAAAAATCGGGAAAATCTTATACAATATCATACGAATACGAATCTTTTGCTTTTGCTTTATATCATGCAATCGATTACCTACACTTATATGAAGATAGATATTTATTGTATAATTAGTCAAGTATTGTTATGCATGACATCTGTTGATAACTGATGTTTTATTGAGGACTACATTTCATAGTTTAATACATAAATAATTGTTAAGTTGTCTACTATTTTATGCTCTCTAGACGAATTGTTTCAATTAGAAATTATGTCTTGATATCTTATTTCAGTTTGTTTTAGTATTATTAACTTCTCATTTATGTGGATGTACTGCAAATATTGTACTTTTAATACTACGTTTTATAGATTTAATATTACCAAATTTAACAGCAATGCCGAAAAATAAAGGAAAAGGTGGTAAAAACCGTCGTCGTGGTAAAAATGAAAATGAAAATATGAAACGTGAATTGATACTTAAAGACGATGGACAATCTTATGCACAAGTTACACGTATTTTGGGTAGTGGTTATATAGAAGCATTTTGCTTCGATAATACCGGTGGAAAGAAACGAATTTGTCACATTCGCGGTAAATTACGTAAGAAAGTATGGATCAATCAAGGAGATGTTATTCTTGTTGGACTTCGAGACTATCAAGATGACAAAGCGGACGTTCTTATGAAATATCTTTGTAAGTTTTTAGTCGATAAACAAGAGTACATTATTTTATCTACGATTCTNAAAGATCACTAAAAGTTTCGGTCAAAAAATGGTCTTAGGAAAAAAAACTATAGTGATTCTAAAAGAGCAGAACATGGACTATCACCCCATGGTGTTATCTCAATGTTCAATTTTTTGACGAAAATCGACTTTTTTGAGGGGGAGGGCTTAATGAGCGTTGAAGAAAAAAATAACATGAATGTTCATGATATATGAAGTTAACCATTATTGCATAGTATGACTTACATTAGTATTTGAGTTGTTTTTTAAAATAAAAATATAGTCAGGAAACATAACGATAAGCAATTCTTCTTTTCTCTCATTAGCGAGTGATTTCCCTATAGTACATCTGTGTTTTAGCTAGTCAACACGTGTTATGCCAAGCTAAACAAATCAATCAATCATCCTTAATCGTTCCGTTTGCATTTATTTATTTTTGTTGAGCATCGTTTCCATAAAAAAAGCGAACAATAAACGTCAAAAGTTGTAATTTTCAACTGGAATATATAATGTCGAACAAAATTATGTTGTGATGGAAATTTTAATAATTAAATTTGTTTTCTTTTAAATTATGAAAAACTAAGTCGAAGCAACAAACACGGGATAGAAGTTAACTTATTTCTTTGCAAGCATCAATAAATTGCGTGTTCCATCATGATTTGACAGCTAAACCTTAAAGCCTAAAAAATCCTATCAGAATCTGTCACTGTTCGAAGTATTTCCTTTTTCAATCTGTTTTTTTTTTATGATTTTCACGTGATATACTTGTACATAAAATACTTTTTCGACGCTTATGTAACACATGAACCTAATACAGTTTATGTTTCTAAGTAACTTCTCATATTAAAATACTCTTCTAACAGAAAATATGTCAATTTTAGTTTTATGAATGCATAAAAATATTCTAAGTGAATATCTATTTTTTAAAATTTCTTCGATAAAAACTTCTCGAAAGATCAATAGTGAATTCTAAAAAGAAGTTTCTCAAATAACTTTTCAATTAATGAAACCGAAAACAGAGAAACTATACAACCTTCATCTATTGCACATCACTCGTACTTGTAATCAACATCAAACTAACTCATTCAATAAGCAAATTTTAATTAATTTCATAGGTTTTTTACACTAAAATATTTTGAATAAATTACACATCAATAATTACTTACTTCCAATAAGATTATAAAAATGATATGATTCACCCAATGACACCCACAATTTAAATAGTTTCAATAACAAAAATTTGTATTGAAAATATCTAAGAAACGCAAAAGATAAAGAATTATGGTTGATAAAACTATTAAAACCATTAAAGTATATTCGTTTGATTGCTATCAACACGTCGATGGTATTAATATTTTATGGAATATTGTTCAGATAAAAATAATAATTAACGTGCGGTCTTACAGTTTGTAATACCTTCGCATTAGTTTGCAGCATGACCATGATTGTTGATCACGGTCACGATTCTACTTGTGAGTTATTTTTACTAGTGAATCATTTTATTTTTCTATCCTGATTTTTCATGAACAGTGATGGACAATAGCAGGAGGGTTGCGTAGTGAAGATTCCCCTCTGGTCTAAACCAAATATTGGAAAAAATTGTGTGAAAAAACGAATTTATTTTAATATTATTACCGAATGACGCGTATTGTTTCACGATCCCGTGTGTCCGTGACCGTGCTCATTTTGCTAATCTCTACTTCATATACCTTTTAACTCAAAAGAACAAATGTACTTTGATAAGAGAAATATATTTTAGAATATGAGTACTTGAATGAATTAGCATGTAGATTTGATTCAAATTTAACTGTTGACACAGTAAACGTCAACAAAATCTTCAGTTTTAGTTTTCTTCTGACTTGTTTGATCAATGAGAATCTAATGGACATCTATCAACGAATTGGAAATAGTTCTGCATTAATGTGCTTGCTTTTACATCGTGCTACCGTATAATATCGTGAAGACTTGATCTTTTGTGAGATGAAATCATCGAAAAGTCTAGAGCAACGCAGAACATCAAGAGAAAAGTTTAATCTGAAATGTTCTTTAAACATAAAAAGTATCATAGAACAAAAAATATCAATCAATCTTTTTCTAACGTTTTTGAAGACTGAAAAAGAATTTTATTTAATAAGCACAGTTTATTTTTCTTCTTCTTGTCTATCATTCATATGAAAGCTTAGAATCCAATGATTATGCAAAAAAGAAAAGGAATATTCTTTCTGTTTTACAACAATCGTATAGGATCGCCTTGATTTTTCATAACTAAGAATTTCAATCCCACGAGTGATTTCTAGTCCGAAATAGAACTCGTGGGTAGCATATCTAGTTTTCATGGAAAAATAAAATTACCAAGAAAATCATCAAATTAGATTATTTGGAATTGAATATAGTTTCTATACGATATAAGCACAAATTGAATTTATAATAACATTATCTCTGGTTTTATCTATGGTATATTTGATCAATTATTAATAGTAAAAAGGTTCGAAAAAACATGATTCATTAAAAAGGTGTATGATTGATATTGCGAAAGGGTTTTCTAATACTTTTTATTGTTAGATTTTCGTTTACGTTTCGATAACATTCTGATCAAACTCTTTTACATATTTTTTTCGCAAGACGTTAAACTCTTTCTAACAAAACATTGTGCTAACAATTAACAGTTATTAATAATGGTCACGGTCCACTAAAAGTGATTATGAAAATAATTTGATCAGGCGACAAAGATTTGTTTCATTTATCAAAATAAACATAAAATATCATTTACAATCATATGTTATGTTTATTTATTCTAGTAATAAAAAATATTGAATGATTCTCGACATTTTTATTCTATGTGTCTTCATGACTGTGTCAACCATTTAGTTATATATTTTGAAAATACTTAAAAAGCTATTCGATGATAGAGATCAATAACATATCACTATTTCTGCGTAATATTAAATGTGCCTCGAGATAAACTATGTCTTACTATAGTAATAACCATTGGGAACTAACCCAGTCCTTTCTCATATACTCCAATACAGTCATACTCTTGATGGATAAGTAATTTTCTTAATGTCAATATTTTTCTTGAGAGCTCGCCTACCAATAGAAACTTTTATATCGATAGTAGAGATTCGAAAGCAAATATTTGAATTAGATAATGCTATTCATATGAGCATCTCAAGATGGCCTACTGTAAAACTAGGATAAATCAATTATTAAAAGGATTATTGTTCTACTGATTACAAGTATAATTCAATTTAAAGTAGTCAATCAATTTTGATGAAGAATCAGAGAGTACTTACGCAAATTTTACAGTCCCTACAACTCTCGTCGACTAAATCTTTCATTTCTTTCTATTTCATTCAGTGTGAACAAAAATATTTCTGGATTTTGCACTACTTTTCGTTCGGAATTCAATATGGAACAGATCGTTCGAATGAATTAGTACAGCTTCGCCGAATTTTATTTTCGCCGACTCCAACTTCGCCGAATAAAAATCTTGACCGAAAAGTATCGAATCAAATTTGATCCATTCTAGATATAGAATTTTATCCTAACTAACTACTTAAATAGTGACTTGATTAATTAACCCCATCTGAGTTGGTAACCATCCGACTTCGTAGCCAACTGACTTGGTAACCATCTGTGTTGATAACCTACGCACACACCTACACACTCCCACACCCCACACCCACACCCATCTGCATTCATTTATTCATCATCCCTCTTCCTTCTAAAGACTATGTTCGATTAGTTGCCGAAATCAGCTTCATCGTGTTCTATATCTTAATCGCATGGAAATTGTGCTAACAGCTTTTCTAGATACATTGTATTATTCTCGGATTTCGTTTGTGATATATTAAGATGTATTCTGATAAAATCTATTCACGAAGCAGTAAAAACTGTATGTCATTAGATAAATTGACCAGGCTTTCTGACTTGCATCCTGAGAATCTAAGTCTAAATTACTCTAGTTGAACAAAAGTTTGACGGGGTTTATTCATGTATATTAAAATTTTAAATGAAATTTTTACAGCAAAATTTCAAAAATGAGCAAAATACAGATTTTCTCAGAGATGTCATTGAATCAGTGAAAACCGTTTATTCAGGTTGAATTTAACAACAAAACCTATTTCAATTATCTTAGAAATCTCCGAAGATAACCGTTTTTATAAATATATTAACGAATCAAGCACACACAATAAGACAGTAAACTTCTAAAAACGGTTTCTAGATCTGTTAAGATCCTAAGCAATCTTTTGAAATGCGAAATAAATTTCCGTTAAGAACAGTAAATCTTTAATAAATAAAAAAATGCACTATTTATTTCATGACAGAAACATTCATGTAATGCACAATATATTTTAAATTAAAACAAAATACAGATTTAGTGTAGCGACTATCGGTTGGTATTAATTCAATCGTGTAGGAACAATAAAACAATGATAGTAGTAATTTGCATATATTACTTTACAATCTTTTACACATAGGAAATGAAATTCATTTGAATTATTTTTCAGAATATGCGCGCTATTTTTTTTTTCATTTGTTCCAAATCTGTTGATAATTTCTTATGAAATCGATTATTCTTCGTCAAATAACTATATCTTACAATCATAATTTATCATAATTTTAATTATATTGACTACTGGAAAAACGTTTACTCTCGTCCGTTTAGGACCGTCAGGGTCATAGGGTTAACTCTTGCATAATAAAAAAAAAGTTTACTCTTGTTACTCTTCTACAACTAAGATAATCTATACAAATAACTGTATACCTTAAGTATGATAGGTTGATTGTTGAAAATCTCCGAAGATAATGTATGTTGATAGTCCTATAAATGATAATGCTATCATTAAAACTGCAGTGCTTGATAAATATTTTCACACTAACACTGAATTCCTGCCACTCACTTATTTGAAGATTTTATTTTGATTAGGTTTCCCTTCTGTAATGTTTTTGCAACTTGATTTCCTTACCTTTCATTCGTATAATAAATAATTGAAATGTTGTATGGGTAAATAATAAAAACTTGGATGAATCTTGCAATACTATACAAAAATGGTTTTAATCAATTGATGGAATAGTACTCGGATTCCCTAAGGAAATCGTACACTGTCATTCACAGACAAAAACAATTGAATTTTAATAGACGGCACGCAACCCGTTACTCATTTATAGTCACACACTATTTTCGCTTTAATAAGATGAGATGAACGAGTAAAATGGAGATCGTTCGACTGTGTTGTCGTATTACTTATTTTTATTTAGTAGTTTTCTTTTCACTTTTTTTCCAAAAAAAAAACTTGTTTTTCGTATGTCAATTAGAACATTGTTCGATAATAAAATTTCCAGCAGTGTCCAAGGACTGAGAAATAGGAATTCCTAATGTATCGAGGAATTGTCAGTGTCGCTGTGATAACTCTTAGAGGAAATGGGAATCAACGATTGGTTCGCTCCAGTTCCACCATTCACGAAAGTTGCGATATTACTGTTGTAAAAATAATTTTTGCATCAAATCATTGATTCTCCCAATTTTGCAAGTGAAAATGAGTGTAAGAATAAAAATTATCGTGAATATTCCATATTTTTACCCTTAGCATGCAAGGAACTGTAGGGGAACTGATGAAGAATTCTTAATCCTCAGCCCTTGAACACCCCTCTAATTATCACAGTCGACGTTACAAGAAAACATGTTCAAATTCAATCTTACATACTAGATTATAAATTCGAATTCTACACAAAAAATACATTATCGTATCTTATTTGACAATGTTATTTATGCTCGTAAAAGACAGTATCGCATTGATTTTCAACTATTTACTGTCATATACTACACCTATATATGATCTAGACCTCATTGGTAGATTTACCCCACGTTTACTGGTTTTCGTCCAACGTTATTACTCACTTCTGCTTTATTGTGAAATTTCTCGTAGTAATTGTGAAATGTTACCTCATACATTTTTTCCCTATTTAAATGTTAAGCTTGCTCGAACGTCATATCAGATTATTTCAAGCTCACAAAAACAATGCCGAAAAATAAAGGAAAAGGTGGTAAAAACCGTCGTCGTGGTAAAAATGAAAATGAAAATATGAAACGTGAATTGATACTTAAAGACGATGGACAATCTTATGCACAAGTTACACGTATTTTGGGTAGTGGTTATATAGAAGCATTTTGCTTCGATAATACCGGTGGAAAGAAACGAATTTGTCACATTCGCGGTAAATTACGTAAGAAAGTATGGATCAATCAAGGAGATGTTATTCTTGTTGGACTTCGAGACTATCAAGATGACAAAGCGGACGTTCTTATGAAATATCTTTGTAAGTTTTTAGTCGATAAACAAGAGTACATTATTTTATCTACGATTCTTTTTCTTTTTCAAATAGCTGATGAAGCTCGTGAATTAAAACGAATTCGTGAGATCCCCGATAATGTCAATATTACTGAAACATCAACAAGAACAGAAGATGGAATGAACGATATCGTGTTTGATGATACATTTAATAATGAAGAATCGAGCAGTGATGCAAAAGTTTCGTCAAACACTTCAGCACTTCAAAAAGTTATAAATGACAGTCTTTCTGAGGAAGAATCCGATGATGATGATGATGATGATGATCAAGATGATAGTATCAACTTTTATAATCCGAATCAATTGACAAAACAGACTGGGAATTTAAATGCAAAAAATTTACTGACAACTAAGAAAAGCACTGGCAAAGGTATACGAAATAATCNATCAAGATGATAGTATCAACTTTTATAATCCGAATCAATTGACAAAACAGACTGGGAATTTAAATGCAAAAAATTTACTGACAACTAAGAAAAGCACTGGCAAAGGTATACGAGATAATCGGTATACAGCAGCCTCAGGGTCAGATACGGAAGCAAACGATCAGCTTGCACATGTATAATCGACGTATTGTCAGGGCAATAGAAATACTTTTTGTTTTCGTTTTTGTAATTTTCTATGTTTATCAGTTGTATGCTTTTTATCAATCATAAAAAGGTATCGCTGGAAGACAAGACAGAAAACTGCAAATTTTAACTATTTAAGAAACATTTATTATTGTATTTTAACAATATAATGAATATACATGTATATTTAATAAACTTTGATTCAAAGTAGCCAACTTTTGTAAAACAAAAAGTGTAGAACATCACGAGCAATGAGTCAAAACCTTTTGAAATTCACATATTGAGATTGAGTTATATAAATATCGGAATTAGAGAAGCATATGTGTAATGTTCGTAACTGAATATCGTGCAGCCATTGGCAATTACTTACAATTTTCAACAGCTGTACAAGCCCAAGTCCTTTGTGCTTGATGCTGCATTTACAAGATCGGCCATGGTCGGAGAACATTCAAGAGTTGTGCATGACGATGCTTTTCGATTCGAAGAAGATACGAATAAAAAATCGAAATGCTAGATTATTTTATCGAGTAGATCGTTTTTGTCGATTATTGAAACATGAGAAAGTGATGAGCTCAATCTTCGTTGATTTCAAGGGTCAGAATTAAAATTACGTTCAAATGAAACATAATTTTCATGCATCATTTCAAACGTTCAGGAAACATGATATCTGACGTTCTCGAGTTATTCATGAATCTATTGCAAGTATCAGTAGAAAATACTTCATGTTTAATAGATTTCGTAATCATTTGAATTATTTTTATTCATATCAACCAATTAGATCTTTATCCGTTTGAAATCCCGAATATGCAAGAATAGTTATTCATGATCACAATGTTGATAGACAACAATATTTTGTCAAATTAGGTAATATGTGTAGAAGCGATGTCGTCAAATAGATTATTTATTCATAAAAGTTTCATCATTAAAATTCATACAACTAATTGAATGATTTCGAAAGAAAATGATACATCGAAATATATTATTAATTTTACATATAAATAACCTATATCTTTGTATCCACAATATATTATTTACTAAGGCGTGGATATGAATTTAGGTGTAGGAGTGGGTATTCTCTTCTCCTACGCTCAACCAGTTAGTATGGAAGGTTAGGTCCAGTTTCAGAGAGGAGAAAAAATATTTTTCGCAAAGCGTGACTTTCATTGTTAGTTATTTTTCAGTTTTCTCCAATTTTTTCTTTAAATAACAAAAGATGTTAGAGAGGGTGAGACGAGGGTGTCAGTTAGCGCTTAGATAGTCCTACATGTATATCAACACTTTAGTACGTGTGTATAGACAGAGGGTGGTATAATCTTTGTATGCTCTGTATTTATATCTTCGATATAAAAAATGTTTCTTTTTAACACTTTGGAGATTGTTCTGTCGTCTTAATCAAAATAATATTTAAGATTTTCGGTAACAAAATAAACTGGATCGATATTTTTCATTCGATTTATATTTTTTGTACCTACTACACCTTTGGAAGTTTTTCCAGATTTATTTATTTTTTTACTTTCTTTAATATACCAATTTGACATAGTTTATTCTACTAGCAACATGAAAACTGTATTTTATTTACATTAGGAAAATATGCATTGAGATTTTTACGAGTTTTTAATTCACCGAAAATATTCAAACCATAGACTTTAGCACAATTGGCTCGCAATTCACTTCTTGTAAAATAGTTTGTTCCTTTTCCCAATAGATAAGATTTTATAGTAAGAAATATATTATTGGTGAAAGATGTTTTCGTTTTATCTAAAAATTGTTCGACATAATCAAGATTAACATCAAGTAGAACCAATTTAGTAAGATGATGATATTCAATAATTGAACAATCCTTTATATCATTTGTTGATTTTGTATGTTGTTTGTATTTTTGTGATTTGAAATTAGATAAAGTTAATCTTTCCATAAATGGGAATGATTGAGAAATTCGAAGAAAAAAATCATGTTCAAATGGTTGCTCATCAAATAACGATACTTCACAAACACATTTAAATAACCCACCAGGGAAATTATTTGTAATATCGTGATAATATTTCATTGTGTATGGATGTGAATAAATATGACATCGACCATTTTTTTCCTTAGGAAAAAAATCAACACAAGAAATAATTTTATTCCTGACGAAACTTGTGAATGTGTTTTGAATTTGTTCATTGGTCAATAAATGAATATCATCGTTAAGATAAATAATGGACCGAATGTTAAACACAAATTCATTCAATCGAGGTAAATGATTGATAATAGTTTTTCTCAAATCATTTCCATCAATAAATTTTTCATAATAATCAACTGCAATGTACAAGGCAAGTTTTCTCAAGTTTGTCATTCGACGTAGAAGTGGCAAAACTGATTGATCATAAAAATGAACGTTTGAAAGGACTGTCAGTGAAAAACACGTTAGATTTGGCAATTCTTCCTATGAAAACATCAGCATATAATAAAAACTAGAGGAAAATTTTCATCGCAAAATATGATATATCATTATTTTGTTCTCAAACTGACTTACTCTATTATTATTCATTGGTTGTGAAGTTAAAATCCAATCAATTGTCACAATTAACGTATGAAGTTGATTAAAACGACCATCGAGCAAATAAAGACAATCGCTAAATGATTGAACATGGACATGAAATTCCAGTAGAGTTGACGAGAAGAAAGTTGGGCGGTGATTTTTGAATGATAATCGGTCAACACATAAGTTTGAAGGTGAATACAATTTTAAATCACGTATATTGCTAAACGCATTTAACATTCGTGTAAAAACACTTATCTGCTCTTCATCTGTCCAGTAGTCTTTCTTACTGTCACAAATTGAAATAACCAATCTTGTTATTTGATATTTGAATATGTGAGTTAATTGATTTTCCTCTAAACATAAATGTATACAATCTTTAAGAAAAAAAAATCGTCATATTTATGGTTAATTTAATGAATCATATCAATTTTCGTAGTTTTCTTTCCTTTTTAATTAAGTAATATGTGAGTATTCTTTCTTCTCTTTCATATCAGCAGTTATTCAACGTCACTGATGAGTAACTATACGTTTATGTAAATATTTCTTCTCAATATAATTGTATGTTTTATCTTTCAACATTGTATTCGCAGATATGAGAATGAACACTTTTGTTCTATCTAGCTAGTTAAAGGGATATTCGTATTCACTTTGTCCATCAACTCTATTTTCTTTATATTCTTGTTTATCATGTTGTGTCAATATATCTTTTGCTTATTTTATTCTTCTTCATACTTATACATATGACATGTAGCTATAAAATAAAAAACAAGCTTGAAGTAAATTTGTAAAGATTCAGATGATCATATAGATAATTAAATAAATCAATCGTGACTATTTATATATTTATGTATCAAAAATTCAGACTGAACTTGAATTTCTTACCAGTAAATAACCGTTGAGTTATCTCTTCGCTAATATTGAAAATAACAAGTCCATTCAAATTAGGATATTTGGCAGCAAGAAGGATACGCTGCAGTGATGATGATTCAATGCCAAGCCATTTGACATTATGATGAACTTGAGGTATTATTTGTATAATAAATCGATCAAGTATTGAATCAGCTAGTGGATAGATAAAATTATCAGATGACCATCGAAACAATGTTAAACGGCTAGTAAATGTTGAATCACGTGCAATTTTATTGAACCGTATATTAGCATCCAATACAGACTGAAGTACTTGCATATTATTTAATTTTTTAAATATCATAATAAGCAACTCATCTGGTAAATCAGTTATTTGGATATATGAATGTTCCATGTTTACGATCGTCTATTAATTCTGTTCAGCTTCTGTAGATGATTATTTATATAGATGAACATTTGTTCTTCTTGTGACCGTTGACGGCAACGAAAACAATGAACCATTTTTCTGTTATGATTCGATGATGAGTGAATGAACTAGAGTTCTGCAGGACAGTCCCAAATCCCATTTCTCCCGTCCCGCAGGATATACGGGACTGCCCCGAATTTTTAAAATTGCATAAAAACGTGTGATGTACTTTAAACTTTTTATTTATAATATCTTAATATTTAAATGATTAGATGCGTTCCGAGAATATCCCCGAAAACTCGATTAAGTGCTAGGGAACAAAACGTAGCAGATACAGAGATATATAGGTTATAGGGGGTCTTGGAGTCTAGGGGGTACCGGAGTTATAGTAAAGATAGGAGATATAGGAGATTGATAAACAATGAGCAGGGCTCAAGAAGTAAATATTGTTATCAGTAATATTTGTCCAGAAAATTTTATTTTAGTTGAGTTATAATCAAATAAAATTAAGAGATGAAAGAGAAAGAAAAATATCTCCTATACCTTCTATATCTCCTATCACTCCTATATCTTCTATATCTACTAGAACTCCTATATCTACTATGACTCTGGCACCGCCTAGACTCCAATACCCCCTCCACCTAGACCCCTATAACCTATATATCTGCTATATCTGCTACGTTTTATTCCCTAGCGCTTAATCGAGTTTCCGGGGATATTCTCTGAACGCATCATATATCAAGCTAGTATATCATCGACTTTAACGTATGAACCACATCATAGATAGTACTTTTTCCTACTCACGAAAAACAACCTTTTAAGTTATATTAGCGAATGGCTTCTCCTAATAATTAATTGAATAAGGTGTACTTGCGGATGCCTATTTTTCACGTACATCCTTTACTATGCCTAAACAAATATATTTTTGCGCCGCTTAGAATGTAGTTGTGTTCTTTCTTTCAAACCCGATAACAATAGCACTTCACATCCCACAATGCAATGGAAGATGACGTGTTTAACGATAGCTGGAATAATGAAGATTCAAGTAGTGATGCGGAAGTTTTGTCACACAACAGCACTTAAAAAAATTATGAATGGCAGTCTTTCTGAGGAAGAATCCGATGATGATGATCAATATGATAGTATCGACTTTTATAATCCGAATCAATTGACAAAACAGACTGGGAATTTAAATGCAAAAAATTTACTGACAACTAAGAAAAGCACTGGCAAAGGTATACGAGATAATTGGTATACAGCAGCCTCAGGGTCAGATACGGAAGCAAACGATCAGCTTGCACATGTATAATCGACGTATTGTCAGGGCAATAGAAATACTTTTTGTTTTCGTTTTTGTAATTTTCTATGTTTATCAGTTGTATGCTTTTTATCAATCATAAAAAGGTATCGCTGGAAGACAAGACAGAAAACTGCAAATTTTAACTATTTAAGAAACATTTATTATTGTATTTTAACAATATAATGAATATACATGTATATTTAATAAACTTTGATTCAAAGTAGCCAACTTTTGTAAAACAAAAAGTGTAGAACATCACGAGCAATGAGTCAAAACCTTTTGAAATTCACATATTGAGATTGAGTTATATAAATATCGGAATTAGAGAAGCATATGTGTAATGTTCGTAACTGAATATCGTGCAGCCATTGGCAATTACTTACAATTTTCAACAGCTGTACAAGCCCAAGTCCTTTGTGCTTGATGCTGCATTTACAAGATCGGCCATGGTCGGAGAACATTCAAGAGTTGTGCATGACGATGCTTTTCGATTCGAAGAAGATACGAATAAAAAATCGAAATGCTAGATTTTTTTATCGAGTAGATCGTTTTTGTCGATTATTGAAACATGAGAAAGTGATGAGCTCAATCTTCGTTGATTTCAAGGGTCAGAATTAAAATTACGTTCAAATGAAACATAATTTTCATGCATCATTTCAAACGTTCAGGAAACATGATATCTGACGTTCTCGAGTTATTCATGAATCTATTGCAAGTATCAGTAGAAAATACTTCATGTTTAATAGATTTCGTAATCATTTGAATTATTTTTATTCATATCAACCAATTAGATCTTTATCCGTTTGAAATCCCGAATATGCAAGAATAGTTATTCATGATCACAATGTTGATAGACAACAATATTTATCAAATTAGGTAATATGTGCAGAAGCGATGTCGTCAAATAGATTATTTATTCATAAAAGTTTCATCATTAAAATTCATACAACTAATTGAATGATTTCGAAAGAAAATGATACATCGAAACATATTATTAATTTTACATATAAATAATCTATATCTTTGTATCCACAATATATTATTCATGGACTTGATTAGAAAATGTGAGATAGGATCTTAGATTAATAAAGAGAAAAACTGACGATAACTCCATTCATATAGTACATGAATACAACAAATAAAGTAATTTAAAAAAAACATTTTCTGTTTACTTGCGACACGAAACAACAAATAAAAGGAGAAGTATTTAAAAACGTAAATTTAAATTGAGATCAGATAATTTTATATCTTTTATTTTTTGTGGTAGATTCATTTCTTTCAACGCAGTCATTGCCTTCGTTGTTCCTGCTGTAATACCAGCTTCTTGTTTTTCCAATTTTGACTGCTCATCAAAGCGTGCAACTATTTCAGACAAATTTGTTTCTAAAACCATGCCACCCATACACATTTCTTGTAAAATATAATGAACCTTATCAACATGAAATATTAAATCAAGTTCACAAACATTCTAGATCAGAAAAGAGAATTCAATTTGAATTATTTAACAAAAGAAAATTTACTTCAAAACATTTATCAAGTGTTTCAACAAAAACTTGAATTAGATCCAGTATACCTAATTCACTTTCTGAACTGTCAACACAAAATATAAAATATAATGTTGCATAATGACGATATATTAAACGATAATCATTTCCACCGATTAATGATCCACCTTCGAGAAAATTGCAAACATTTTCATCGCGTTTTGACACTAATTGATATGTTTCTCGAACGATTTGTTGCTGAATTTCTTCAGGATAGTGTTCAAAAAATTTTATTAACCGTGGTTTAGCTGAATTATTGAAGACAAGTATTGCTTTAATCATGATAAAATAAACATACTAGAATAATAGTTTATATCTGAAACAAATTATCTAAAAGACAAAAAACGAATATGTCTTTTTATTCGTTAACTACGTATTGACGACCTTCAATGACGTCAAAATGAATATATAGAAGGTTAGTAAAGAGTGCACATGCATTGAGGCAGAACATAGATGAATATTTGCATATTCATTTGCGCAAAACAAGCATGGGTATCCAACATAGCAAAAGCCGCACTCTAACTGATTCCGACATCAGACTTATAAGTCAACAAACGCAATTAGAACCGCATATTATTCAACAACTCTATGAAGCATTTATGGAACGAGCAGGAAATGATGGACGGTAATGATAATAGTTAAAGTTAAAATCCTTGATTTATTAATGTATCTGTATTCTAGTATGACAATCAGTGATTTCAAAAAAACCTATACAGAAATAGATCCAAATGCAAATTTTTTTACTCTTGACAATGATGCAGAAAGTATGTTCTGTGAGATTTCGCTATCTCAACTTTTAATTGATTATTTTCTAGGATTTTTCATGATGTTCGATAGGGATCGTAATGGTAAAGAAAAAAAAGTAAAAATAATGATATAGTAAAAACTAACTTTTATTTTCAATAGGTGTTCTAACATTTGATGAGTTTATGATGGCATATATTCTTTTGCAACGCGGTGGTGATGTCCCAGCAAACCGTTGGTACAATGCAATCAACACTATGCCTGTTGGTGTTATTTCTAGACCTAGCCTATTGAATTCTGAAGAAGCCCTTAGACTTCTTCAATATATGCATCAATTTTATCAAATTCCAAACTTTGATCCAGTGATGGAACATAATCTTCTTTGGGGTCAATTAGCACCACAATTGGATCCCAGTGGTTATATACCACAATCAGAATACCTCCGTCTTTTCTCGGCTCAACCTAATATTCAACCACATGTTTGGTAGAAAGACTTTGCGCTATCTTTCCTGCTTTTTCTCACCTATGAACAAAAATAAAACAGATTTATGAGTTGATCGTATTTAAAGTTCAACTTGGTAAACAGTTATGTTTCTGACTTTGTCAACTAACAGAAAATGGAATTATTTATAGAAAATAAAAGCCTAGATCGTTGATTTAATGCTCTCAATTTGAAATTCTGTATCGAGAAATGAATGAACATGTTAAATTAACTTACGAACTCTTCGTTTGCGTATCAACTCTAAAATAAAGATAAAGAAATTTTATGTATTATTGATACCAACAGTTGCAAATGGAATTATTTTGTTACTTTTTCACCTAGCTATTGAAATCATGTTAACCAGAAAAAAAAGCTGGTAAATTACAGTGTAATTCAGCATTCTAGTCAATATCGTCGAATATGCTGTTTTTAGTAGAAGAAATGTTCGTTCTGAATCAATAGTATTTGAAATAGATTGGAGAACAATAGTAATGCTCCTGTATTATTTAATTAGAAGAGAATACAACCAATCGATATCTTATGAAAAAAGACAACGATTTTAGAAATATATTTTAATATTATTTTTAATCCTAATGCCTAATTAAAATTTCTCTTAACTCTCTACTTTGAAAATTAGTTCGTAATTAACAAACGAAATGATTGTAGGGTAGGACTACATGCAACAAAAATCCAGATTCATATTTTTTTTCTTTTCACTTCTTATTTAACAAATTTCAATATCAATTTGTTAATCTTTCAAAAATAATAAAACTCTCATCAGAAACTTAATCGGAAAGTATCTGTTAAAATTATGATGCTACTCTGATATAGTATATTATTACTCATTCACCTTAAATATATATTTAATAGAAAGAATTTAGAATACAGTTTTCATTTTATGTCATTATAAAATATTGATCGCATTATTACTTCAATTTAATTTAATTAATTATAAATTTCGATGAACCATGTAGATTAGCATCATTAAGTGATTGAAATTATAATAGTTGAATGTCTCTCACGATAAGACATATTGTTTCTAATAATGAAAGTAATGATTGCATTTACATATATATATATATATATATGCGATAGGAGGTTTTATGTATATTGTTAAGCCCTTAATAAGTGTAGATCTAACGAAAGCAGTCGATGTATCTTGCCAAGTTGATCAATAATGCTACGATAATATAAAAATATGTAGCGCCAATATAATAAAAAGTGGATGGACTATTGTCGGATAATAGCTGATTGAAAATTAACTGCTCAAACTATTGTTGTAGATACGTCGTCTCATAGAAGTAATGAAAATAAAACTAAAGACGATAAGTACATCTAGTTGTATCAATACCAATATATAAGTTCTTAAATCTCTTTTATTCCCTGATCCTTAATTTAAACTTCACAAGTGTATATTTTTCACGCCGATAATGATAGCTACATTTAACAACTCACCCGAAAACTATCAATATGATTAGTATTGGTCAATATTTGAAATTCATTTCAAAGATAATCTATTATCATTCATTGTCTCGAAATGGTTTCTTAAATAATCATACTTGTATAAAATTAACATAGTTTATTTACTGTAAATAAAGATAGCTATGTGTATGAATTAATCTAGAATAAAGTATGAAACAAAAAATTTGCTGGAAAATATTTTTAAAAACAATATCCATTAAAAACTCATAAGTCGTAGGAAAAAAAATCATGATATCACATGTGAAAGGTAAGGATTTACTGCTTATCTTGGCTTTCAGCTTTCTTTTAATCATGTTTAGCGAGATCTACTTTCAGAAGAGTACCCAAATAAGCGCAAGCATGAGCACATGCCAATGTTTCAATTTGATTCGTACCAACATATATCAGCAAATGTGATGAATTTCTTTGAAATTTGAGTTTTTCAAACAGGATATAATTCTGAAGAGGTAAAACGAATGATTGAAACCGTCCACAGTTCACATTAATCGAACGATAAGCAGGTATGTATGGTCGAAGAATCACATTTCGATAAACATTTTCGAAAAGATCGAAAACTTCTATGAGTTGCACCAATTCTGAACGGTTTTTAGGCTGTATTTCAAATAAGTCAAACAGGCATTTAACTGATTCAAAGTTGCCCGAAGCATTTAATCGTGTCTTCCATACTTTGTAACTTTCTGCCCCATAGGAAGATTTTAGGTGACGTAGCAAGGTGGATCCATCTTTCTCATCATCGAACATCTTTATGTAACCTTGTAATGTGAACAGATTTCTATACTAAAACAATGAAAATATCGTATTTGGATAATTTTTCTATTCGTTCATATTACCTCACTAATTGAACTAGCTGTTGAACTCTGATCAGAAGTAGATGAATACATATCGTCACCTGCCATTATTTACTGATACAAGGAACAGCAGAAGTTTTTCAGAAATACGATATGTTGACACAATTCTTCCTTCTTATTTGATTGATTTATTTATATTGCTTTTTTTAGTTTTTTCTCATTGGAACGTTGAGTTCGAACCAATTGTACCAAAATTAGATGTCACTCTTAGCTACATGTATTTTTATTTATTTTACACATTGACAACTGAAAAACAGACAATCACAATGATCACTTGTTGTCTCGAATTTTCTGAATCAATAGCTATGCACTAATCTATTTCTAATAATATATTACAAAAAAGGCTATAGAGCTTAGCAAGTGATCAAAATGAATATGAACAATGATCATCAGTGGCATGCTTGATAAAGATTTGACTTTTTTTCATTTTCAACACATTTGAATTCAAATATAGTATGAACGTCGATCGCGTGCAACATAACAGAAAACGCACCCAATAAAATTTATATAAGTGGATGATCAAACCGATGAATGATACTTATGTGTTGGCATAACTGTTTTAAATTTATGAAAATGTTTTGGAGAAAGGAAAACCAAACTGAATAGTATATTACGGAATATTAAAGACTGCAATAAGAAAGATTAGTATAGATTATTGTTACAGTGAAGATTTTAATCAATTAATTATTGTTTCTGCGAAAGACTTTGTGTGCTATGTTTATATCTAATGTTCTTTGTCTTTGTAAATATGATTTGTTATTGTTTTCTAAGCTTCTAAATGAATGTTTTGTTAAAATATTTGTAATCTAATTACTTTGTTAATTTTAACATTAAATATCTATTGTATACTGAGTTGTTCATATGTGCTATCATATGCGCATAGGTTAAGACGAATATTCAGCAGTTAATGAGCAGTTTTTACCTATTCTCACTTGACTTTTCCAATATCGGATCGCTCTTGTAAATTTAGCGAATAGTAATTATTGTTTTTCTTGATCACTGGATGCATAAGACTAATTCTTTGAATAGTACTACTAATTTGATCAGTCTTCCTTATCATGTTTTCGAGTATAGGATGAGAAGAATCCTTGTTCGCAGAGCAATGAACTAAATCAGTATTTTCAAATAGTACTTCAATTATAGATCAAACAAAATATGTATGCGTTCAATCTATTTTTAATCTGCATGAAATCAACGTTCAGTTTCAGTACATTGTGAAGTTTACGTGTCATGCACACAGTGTGGTTCATATTGAAATGATTTTCTCTCATATCAAATACTACAAAAAATTCAGTGTGAAATCTAATTTTTGCCAACTCAATTGAAATTACGAGTGTATCCCTATCATTTGAACTATTTACATAATTACGTCAATGCAAAAATACTTATATAGTAGTTGAATATAGAGCCTTACTAGTGTCACATCCAAACATGGTAAGAAATTCTGTGTCAAGGCTTCATAACTGTGACATAGTGTAAGTCTCGATATTGTTATTTACCTCAAATATCTTTTTCAATGATTTTATTTTCGAATCAAAATATGATTATTGTATCAGGAGAAAATGTTCTATGTGTAAGATAGAACTAATTTAATCAAATTTTGTTGGCCCATCTATGTTTACTTTTCTTTCTCGCCACGATGCAAAAAATATGCCATCATAAATATTATTCTTAATGAGATTTCACTAGAGTTCGAATGGATGCTGATTGAGGGAATCAATCATATAGAATAAAAACATGATAAAACCGAAAATGAAATTATTGGATCCATCAGTTTTTACGCAATATGTCTAGACTTGTTGAAAGTCTCATAAATGAATGAATGAATGAAAGAATAAAAATATGTATTTGAATTGTAGAAAAATTACAAATTATATCTTCTTTCGTTGGCAATCACCATTACATGAGTGTACTTCGTATTTTGTTTTTCTTTTTAGAATTATTCCCTTTTAAATTACGAAATATCTAAAACTGATAGCAATACATCAGCTGTGTGTTTATTAGAAAAATACTAGTAATGTGAATATTTCGGCAGATTATTTCTTCTGAAGACTATGCTATAGAGCTCACTCTAAAGCCAAAGCCAAACAAAAGAAAATGAATAATCATGATAAGATATGAACCTTTATTATATTCTATTTAATTGATTAGCGCATTTCAACAGTAGACTGTATGCAAGCTATTTATCATTTTCTACATTCTATCAACAATCTGTCTAAAGGAAAAAAGCGATTATCTCCTTAAATTCGAATCTTACAATGCCAAATAATAACATAGACATTACTCGCTGGTCGCATTGAAGTTCTATCAAGATTTTTCGTCATTCAAAATAAGAATACATTAATTTTTAATTTGAATAATCTCGTCATAAAACTATGTCATTTTTATAATATACTCCAATTATCTAGAATTAACATCGGTTATCTGAGCTAGTAACAGATAAAAAGAAAAACAGCACAATTATTACTCTTCAACAGTATAGTGACTATGTGATGATAGAGAGAGACAGTGAACAAATGCCAATCAGATTTCTTTAAAATTGTGTACTTACGTTAGTTGATAAGAATATTTTTATTGAACGACTTGAATCGCTCAGTAATATTGACAAACAAGAAGAGGCGCACTCCTCCAAGCATAAGAAAAAAGTTAGGAAAAAAGTTACGTTGACATTGCATAACGAATATTAAATCAATCTATTTTTATCATTTTTATCCGTTAACAATATTTTATGAAATTAGACACGAATATCTAATATCGTTTGTCAAATATTGACAATTAAACAGAAAATTAAGAACATAGTTAAGCAATACTGAAGACTTTTAAAACGAAAATTGATGTGAAACTAAGTACGTACAACTAAATACAATTAGAAGAAATAAATTAATCGACTAAAAGAAACATACTATATTTTTTTCACTACTTTTAATTACATCTTTAAATTGATTATATTTTATTTGCACTATGATTACAATTCGATAATTAAACAATATTATGGTATTTAACAAATACATATTTGCTGATTGTTTTTACTTACAACATAATCGAAAAATTTAGTAAATATCTGAAAAAGTCTTTAACGCAGACAATTGATGTTCGAATGTCGAAATACGACTACTGAGAGTATAGATATTTCAAAAACAAATATCAAAGACCAGATAGAATTTCGAAGGATACTTTAATAAATATAATGCTAACAAGCTTCGACACATATGGCAAGACCCATACCCCCACCAACACATAGCGCGGCACAGCCTCGTTTTAAGCCTGTCCGCTTTAGTGTATGTATTAATGTGACAAGAATTCGGGCACCAGAGGCGCCAATCGGATGACCAAGAGCAATCGCACCTCCATTTACGTTAACCTATCAATATATTAAAAATCGAGTAATGAATCTCTACCAAATAAAAATAACCTTTTCAGGATCAATACGAAGTTCTTGAATAATAGCTATGGATTGGACAGCATACGCTTCATTTAATTCAAATAAATCAACGGAATCAATTGACCAATTTGCTTTACGCAAAACTTCTTGAATAGTTTTAATTGGTGCTAAACCCTAATCGAAACGTAAACTTTATTTGGGTTTTATACTAGAATAGCTATTTACCATAACAAGCGGATCAATGCCTGTTTGTGTCCATGCAATGACTTTTGCTAAAGGCATTAGTTGTTTTAATTTTGCAATACGGTTTGAACAAAGAACAACAGCAGCTGCTCCATCATTAAGATCTGGTTAACATGAAAGAAAAACAGATAATCTATATAATCTAGCGGCAAATGAGGTGAAAAGAAACCTGATGAGTTGCCGGCAGTGATGGTTCCAGCTAAAAAAAGAAAAGACAAGAAAAAAAATGCAATAGATTTTCAATTACTTCGAAGATAAGATTATTACCTTCTTTGAACACCGTCTTCATTTTCGACATGACTTCCATAGATGTCCCTCTTCGTGGATATTCATCGTGCCGTATTTCAACATCATCTATACGAACAATATAAGAAATAAATTGATTTAAGAAAAATTAATCTGATATACTTTTCGTAGTAGAAATGATAATCGGTTCGATTTCTGTGTCGAAATGTCCCAATGATGCTGCCTCTTCAAATTTTAGATGAGACTGTAAAGCAAATGCATCTTGCTCTTGCCGTGAAATACTGCGTGCTTCTGCAACGTTTTCAGCTAGCCAATAAACAAACAAACGAACCCTACATTGAAGGCTTATCAATAGTTATATTTATTTACCTGTAATGCCCATATGAATATGATTGAATGCATCCATAAGTCTGAAAAAAAGATTAATGAAAAGAATTTTTATTAATAATTTATTTTTTTTACCCATCATGTAACATTGAATCAATAAGAATGGTATCACCCATTTTCTTTGCATGTCTCATTGAAACACAGTGAGGTGCTTGACTCATACTTTCTTGTCCACCGGCAACTACAATATGAGCATCACCTGTTCGAATAGCTTGAGCACCAAGAATAATTGCTTTGAGACCTGAACCACAAGCCATATTTATTGTAGTTGCTGGCACAATATATGGTAAACCGCCATTACGCGCTGCTTGTCGCGCTGGATTTTGACCTTCATTAGCAGCCAATACTTGACCCATTATAACTTCATTTACTTCGTCTGGTCCAATATTACCGTTTACTTTAGCTAATGCACCTTTGATTGCTACTGCACCAAGTTGATGAGCTTTCAAAGCTGATAAACATCCTTTTAATGAACCGATCGGTGTTCTCATAGCTGATAATATAACAACTTCGGTAATGTCATCATTTGTAGTTGAAGTCATTGTTTGTCTGAAACAAAAATATCTAGAACAAAGAATGACACATGCGTATGTAAATGTAAACAAATACCATAAATAAATACACAAATAAAAGCAAATCGGTATTTCTGTAGAAGCAGGCAAGCACAATCTTAAGCCTCGGAACCCATTTCCGATAAAGATGAAAGCGTTCAATTACAAACCTTTTCTCTCTTTGAAATTTTCTTTTACGTTTCATTGCGTGTCTATTGTAATCATATCTGATTTATGGAAGTGTCTTTCCAAGGCATAATACTATTGGTTTATGCAATAGAAAGCTATTCTTGATTAGGAAACATTAAATCACACATTACATACAAATGAAGATAGCATTCCATACAAGCAAAAGGAAAAAAAGAACTTGATAATTTTATAATTATTTATTCTTGTAAACACATTTCTTTTGCGTCATGTTTTACTATTGTTGAACTGTTTTGCTTACAAAATTAGTTTCATAGTATAGAAAATAGACTAAGGATCTCATAACATACATTGAGAAAGCTATAAGTAGGTTGTCACTTAGCTAGTAGCTAAAAATATCGGTTTATAAAAAGAAAAAAAATGACTGATTAATGAAAGAAATAGCAGTAAACGTAATAATAGTAATAACCATAATTCATATAACTTAAAAGAAAAAAAGACAACAGAGTGAGAATAGCATAGCGATAGAACCAGAAAGAAAAAGAAAGAGGCGAAGAAAAAAGAAACTAAAAAACGTCTGTTGTGCTTGATTCATTTATTTGCGAATGAGGAACGTGTCATCATCATTTTCTTGTTCATCATGACATTTATTGAAGAGAGATTCTTCTACTAGAGTGACTCTATTGAATAGCTTATATCATATTATTTGATGTTTCGTTTGTATTTAAGCTAGAATAAGAATAAAAAATCACATTTCTATCCAATGAAAAATTGAAAAAATTCGAACTTCTCAATCTACTGATGTTGGTGTTTATATCATAATATAGATTAAAATAAGACAAATCAACAATGTAGCTAGTGAAGTATTCTATATTAATGTACTTCGATCTATTCTATCATCAATTTTCTTGATGAAAGCTTGTCCTTGAACACATAAAATGTTTTTACTTATTATTCTTTTTGAAATATTTTTCTTGAATATAATATAGAAGTTTGACAACAAGTTTATTCTTTTATTTTTCAGTACTATTTTAGTCGTTTGGATAAAAACTGAAAGAAAAAATGTAAATAAAAGACGATGACAACTACAAATTACTGCAAAACAATATTATCTTTTCTAGAAAAAAAATGGCAATCTGTCTGATATTGAATTACAATAATAGAAAAGTTCTTCCTTTTACGCTTTAGCTAAAAACAACAAAGAAAATAATCAGTTGTTGCACATTTATGATTCATATTACTGAACCTTAACAGGCAATTAATTAAATAAACGTTGTCTATAAGTAGAAACAGTAAACAGACCAACGGTATCGTACTGAAATTGGTGTCACATTAAAACAAGAGAGGACACTACCCTTCAACATTGATAATACTAGTAATAGAGGATCGACAACGATATTCAAGCTGACAATGTAATTGATCTTTATCTATCCATCAAATATCTAAATAGTAAGAATGAAGGAGAAATATAATCTTTTCAGCATCTAATTAGTTCTAGATTGTTTATCTGTGGTCTCCTCCAGAGACGTTTCTGGTAAATAAATATTTCAATAGCTATGAATAATGTTTTTTTTTCTTATACGAGAAAAGCTAGCATAATAACAAATGCGTTGCTGTATTATAATTTTAAGAATACATATTTAAGAACTATAAGCTTCAACAGAATAACGAATACAATAAAACTTTTAGTTTCTATAGAGATTCTTCGAACTTATCAATATTTGCATTCTAAATTTATGCTTAATATGATGTCGAACACATAATGTTTTTATTCTTAGCTTTTTGCAATTGCATAGTAGATTATTAGTCATCGAAAACTAAATCTGCAATTTCAATATGATTATGAAACAAAGGTAGAGAATTCTCAAAGAACTTTTAATTGTAGTTGGATTCAATTCGTATATGATTCTAAAATGATTCAATCATCTGATGATTTGCATAATAAAATTGGTAGAAGAAGTCAAGGGGGAAAAGTTGATTCTGTGGTGATAGAATCCTTCGAATCGGGTAGAATCAACAGAACCACTCGGAATCCATGAAATCCCTCGGTATCATAGAGATTCTTCAGTGAGTTCTAGTGATTTCTGGATGATTCTACTGATTCCCAGCGATCCCAAATGACTCTGATGATTCCATTGATTCCGGATGATTCTGTTGATTCCAATGCTCTGGATTCAGCTGTTCTCATCTTGATTACAATTAGTTTTTCATTCTGCACACGAATCTGATATTGGTTTTTGTTTATTCATAAAAAGTCAAAGAGAAAACAATTGATTTTATAGTACTGGAATCACACAGAATCAATGGAATCATGGAATCAGCTTTTCCCACCTTGGAAGAAATACATTTTTTTCTTCGTTAATTTCGACATTTATTGATAAAGTAGTAATTTCTTTCAATTTTCATTTAATATAAACTAAAAATATTTCATGTGACAATGAAAATTTCCGTTGAGAAAGCTCCACTTCTTTGTCCTTAGCTATCCACAAAATATTTGAGTTTTTTTTAATATTCAAACGCCAAAAACCATATAGCTTGATGAATTAGAATCGAATAATTTTATTCAAAAAACTTGACGATAGTTAAATAAATAATCACACTGAAAGTACCAAGTCAATGAACGAATAAACTCCAATTTTCTTCATCAAATGTACAAATCATTGATGTTGGAAATTCAAGCAATTGTATAATACATTTGATAATAGCAATTAATATTTTAGTTAAAACAATTCGTAAATTGCTTTACAGAAGAAGTAGAATAATGCTTGTCGTCTCAGATTCTTTGCTTCGTCGTTTTATCATTTGATAAAAAAATGATTGGAAAAAGTCATAATCTGGAACAGTAAATTTGATCTAACATAGTGTTGATCATTCAAAATAAAAATTTCAAAATTTTAAATATAGTTCGATCAACTTTCCCCTACTTTTTCCGATAAAACTGAAGAGTATCGAAGAAGAATATTTTTCATTTTAGTAGAGATCTTTCTATATAGTTATGTCAGTCATTCTATAGTGATGCATTCGTCAATGACACATACTATTAGTTCGATCGATAATTCTCAAAACTTTCTACTAAATACATATAATTATATATTTTATAATTCTATCATATGCCGATTGATAACTAAAGATTTGATCTGCTTCAAAATTGGAAAACAAATTTGTTTCTCTAACATATTCATCAGTCGAATCAATGAATAATTTTTTCGTGAGTATCTGTACTCTATTTGTTGCATGTCTATCATATAATATTTTTGTTGTAAAAGAACTCAATTTTTATTAATGGGTTCATGTTTAAATTTTTGTTAGAGTAATAATTGCCAAACGAATCAAATATCATTGAAGATTTCTTTTCAAAGTTTACATAGTCTTCTATCAGTTTTACTATTATAATTATTGAAAGAATCACTTCAGATGTAGAGGAAAAACATCGTTATTTGCATAAAATATATATACGAACTCTTTTTTTTGTTATCCTTCTCGAACTATTTACTCTGACTGGATTGTCCACTTATTATCAGAAATGACATATAGCTATACCTTGTATTTTCACCTTAAGGTTTCCTGTTTTTCAGGCTCAATTTTTTTGCTAATGTAGAATGGATGTATAAGATGTCTCATGTTTTGATTAGACATCAGTCAAACATAGCCTCTCGAGTACTATTCGAATATATAAGCTATCTTATCTATCTCTATCATTGCGTGTATGGATGCTAAATGCTAAATATTTATTATTTGCTTCTAACTCTTGATATATTAGAACTTGAAATTCACAACTAAGTACATAGAGTTTATTACACATAAACGTATAGTTACTAGCTATACTTTTATGTGATTGTACGACAGCTATATGTGTTAGTGAACGCACAAATTCTTCTTTATTTATGTTCATCCATTGATGCAATCGAACAATTGTTTCTAATCAGTGACAAAGTACATTACTATCAACACGAAATCGCGTGTTTACACCAAAAGTAATTATTCTGCTGCTTTTTCGAATCATTGCCAGTAGCTGTCGTGTTGTTTCCGTTCATTACTTCGATCGTAAATGATTTGGAAGTGGAATCTAATAACTTTCTATAACGTCGCATGAATACAGACTTGAGCTATGAATACTAGAAGTTAATTTGTCACTTCTTTAGACGTTGTGATTAATATTAGCATTGATATCTCAGTATGAGAGTTTTAAAAAAACTTGATATAGTTATATTCATAGGGTTGTGTTCGATAACTGGATTTTTTAATGCGATATTATAGAAGCTGAACTATCCTTTTTCTCGACTAAGACTATTAAATTTGTCGATAAAGACTTTATTTCCTATTATTTTAATAAAATAATCTGATTCGTGAATTTAACTTATCAAAAACTCCAGAACTTATCCGAACAAAAAGACATGAATAATTTAAAAGTCAAAGCTTATAGACTTCACGACATTATATTATGTTGTTATGTGAGTAATATTGGTGACAAATTGTATTGTTATCTAAACACAATGGCTAATCGGTGTATTTTCAGTGGCTCTGATATGCTTATTTCGTAAAAATAACGAATTTCATATTTTTATTTTTATTTTTATCTATAGATTTTTATTTGTTTTCACTTTGAATTCATATTTTTTAAGAAATCATTTCGTCAGGTTTTCTGAAGTTAGATACGATTAGTTGAATACATGCTATTTTAGCTGTTATCATGATGAAAAATATGAATATTTAATCTTCATAAATACGAAAATAAATCTTAAACTACATAAAAACAATTCTGGTCAGATGAATATTGTATACCAATGAATAAAAACAAATTTATTTGATCAATAATACCAAGGGGGAGCAAACTGATTTCCACGCATAGAAATCACTAGAAATCATCATACATTAAAGATGTGAATAACGATTCAGCTGTTAGAAATTACAAGAAACAAATGTAAATCACAGAAATTCTCGAACTAGATAGTGAAAGAAAATATTGATTTCTATTGATTTCTCATAATTTTTCAACATTTCTAAACGTTTCCAATGATTTCTGCTGTCTAGCAATGATCATATAAAAACTGATTTCCAGTAAGAGAAATCACTGGAAATCAGTTTGTCCCCCCTTGAATAATACAATTATTGATTTAATCATGCTTTTCAATTATTGAAAAAGAAAAATCTACTTATATTGTATGAATAATTTCAGTTGCCTAGAGACCATTCGCCAAAACTAATTATATAATAGCGAATTACAATAAATACGATTTTCAACACATAAAAAAACGTATACACTGTACACTTATTGTTCAATTATGACTCGTATGAATTCGGTATCTCCGCCATCATTAGCAAGCATACATAGCAGTATTTTATCAGAATCTGTTTCTATTGCATCACGAAAAGCATCATTCGATATTCCGTATAATATATCTTATCTACTTAAACGTATTCGAGGTCAACAAAACTTTAAAGTAAAGAATTTATCATCTGAATATAATACTCAAGAAAAATCAGTATGCCATGAGCCTGTAGTTCACCAATATAAGTCATTACTCAATAATAATATAAAATTGGCAGATATCCAAAAGTCACAATATAAAACAGATGTTAGCACACCGATTCTTAGGCGTAGTAAGATAAAACAGCTTAACTTTGATCGATTGAAACGCAATACAAACGTATTTACCAGAGATCAATTAAACAAACAATACCATATTCAACGGCAAAAATCAAATAAAAGATTTTTCAAGTATTTATTCAAATTTTTATCTATGTTCGATATTAAACTATGTTCTAATGTAGAAATGAGAAAGATGAAAAGCAAGAGTTCAATAATGCTGCGTATTGTGTAGCTTATTGTACAATCATAGTTATCGGTAAGTTAACATATATAAGAAACATCTTGCTAAATGAATATGTAGAAAATCTACATATTATTCTCTTGTGATGAATCTCTCGACTATTTCTCATAGAAAAATAAAAGGTGTAACAATTGGTGGTTGGATTGGTGGTCTTTTCGAATTGATCTCTAGCGGTCACAATGGTTGTAGCAATGAATATCGTGGTCATTTAAAATGTCAAGCCAAATATAAATCTTTAAATGTTACAACACATTGTATTAATATTTTCTATAAAAATTCAATTCTACACAATGCTCCATTTATTTGTCTATGTCGCTTTCGTAATAATTCACAAGGAAAATATCGTGATTGTGAATTTCTTCACGCGAACATACAGTATATTTAAAAAAACTCATCTTTCTTTTGTTCTTTTTGTTGTTGTTGTTGTTGTTGTAATCATCAATCAAAAGCTATACACACACCCACACACAAGAGATAAATTAACAGCTACATGAAAATCAGCCGGTTATTAAAATAGAGAAGAAGAAGAAAAAAAAAGAATCACAAATTGTATGGATAAATAAATATTTATTCTGTCGCAGCTGGTGCATCGCCTTCAACATAAAATTTTAAAGTTTAATGAAAATAATTATGACTTTTTTAAATACACTACCTGCATTGTTTCCAATACGTCGAAAACTCTTTTTAACCTCTGGTCGAGCTAGTTGAAGACGTTTTAAAAATTCATTCGTTTTATGACGCATATGAGCATGTAAATATGCCTGAAAATAACAAATCAAACGAACCAAATATTGAAATCAATTTAGAAAATTACTTTGCAACATTTTATATGATAATGGAAATAATTTCGGAGTGTATGAATAAGATTTATTGTATTATCACGTTCGGCTACTTTTGTATGACGCGGAAAAAGTACTGTAAAATCAAACGAATCTTTATTATGTTTCTGTTTTTTTCAAAAGAATTTATGAATACCGAAAGTTAAATAGCCAATATTATCTCCTGTACGTGCATCAGGCATATCTTTTAATTCTTCCGGTGGCGTACGATAACTAACAATCACCTGTGGTGCTTGTTGAAATTGGCGTCTTCGTTCTTTAAATTCCTTCAAATAAAAAGTTTTTATCTGAAAAATAACCAAAAAAGAAATCATTTTAACTTACTTCCATGAAAACGCGACCAATAATATTATCATCCGGATCTTTAAAAACAGTTGAAAAGATTACAATAACGCGATCAGATGATGCATCAACATACATTGTTTCGTCATCACGATAATGTATAACAGCTCGTTTATGAGTTTCTGTTTTAGTTTCTTGTTTACTTTGAAATTCAAAATATTTTTCAAAGACAGCAGCAAAACAATTTCTTTTGAGCATTGCGATTTTACGAACTAATGGTAACCAGACTTCATTAGTGTCACCTTTTGGTAGTTGAGTATTAAAATCCAATGATAATGTTACATTATAACCTTCTAAAGGTGTAACAAGTAAATCACCATATTCACGACGAAGAACCTAAAAGAAAATAAATGAACGTATTAAGGAGAAAAAAGAAGCAACACAATATTTTAACTAACATCATCAGTACCATATTGTTCTAAATCACGATAAAATTTTAGTTTAATGCTAACAATAAATGGTTTATCACGTGAACTTGTTACATGATACATAGCACCATCGAAATCTAAATTTATTCAACGATATATTTTGCTTTTCTATCTTCCGAGAATATTGAAATAACATACCAACAACATCAGTTTTTACTTCAACTAATTTTTCTTTTCGTAAAAATGTTTCAATTTGTACCGTTAATAATTCTTCGATTATACGATTATGAACTTCGAGTAAAATCATGGTTTTATCAAAACTATTCAACTAAAGTGAAAGGAATAACGAATGTATCTAGAAAAGTGAAAAAAAAATTTTCATAAGTATGAATCGTTGTAGAGTCAACATTAGAGATATTATAATTGACCACAGCACAACAATGTATGAATGATTCATGTATGTTAGTACTCTTTCTTTTTTTTATTTATTGGATATATGATATATATATAAATGGCAATGAAAGTTGTCAGTAGATGTCTCTAGTTCTTGATCAAGTATTTCGAATGGTATATCGATTACTCGCATACGCTCCTTTGTGATTCAGTCAGCATCTTTTATATGAACTTAATTGAACAGAATCAAATTAAATGCTATTGTTCCCATATTTTCTGTAAATATTTATGAAAGTTTTTAGAATTTTGTAACAGAAAAATTAATACTAAGTCTTGTACGTGACTGTACGATCAATATTTTTCTTTCGAGATGTCATAAGATCAAATATAAGAATAAATTCCCTTTTGTTTTTGTAGATATAATTATAAATATAAGTAAATATTATTTGTTTGAATTTATGCTTCAATTAAAGCATTTCAATCAATATACTATTTGCTATTCATGATAAAGTCTTGACATTCAATTTACAATTTAATTAGATTCATGTTGTCGGCTTTTGTAAAAGCCTAGATGTAAATCTGCTTCATAAAATGATATTAAAAATTATTGTTTTCAAATATATTATTAAATTAATCTCTCCATAAAATGTGCATTGTAGAAGTATGTATTTTTTTTAGTTGTTTATAGCATAACATCGTGGCTAGCAATACTATGTAACATGCTGTCGTTAGACAATTCAATTTTTTCATTCAAACTACTTGGTTTTAGAAATATTTTTATGTAACCTATCACTAATTTATCTATAGTATTCAAATACAAAATCAATAATTTTAGTCAGTTATATTCTGAAAATTTCGTCCAGCAGACATATTCACATTCACATTGATAGGTTTTCTACTTCTCTTAAACTAGACACCGTATTTTAAACGATTATTCAATTGAAATACTATCAATATGCTATTGATTAGTAAAGAAAAAATAGATTTCTCTTTCAATCGTGCAAATTATTAAATTTACTTTAATGAACAGTGCGATTATAAAAAAAAAGATTTCTAATATGGTACTGATGATGTTGATTTATTTGAACGTTGAATAAAAAACTAAAAATACGAATATGATTGAAGCATAAAAAAATCCAATCAATAGACCTGTTGCATTGCATTTGATGCTTCTTTGAAGTTTTTCATTTGATGAAAACTATTTGCTAACCAATGTGGTAATTTCGATGATATATTTGTTTTGCTATATCGTTTATCAATTAAAAGAAGACAAGCATAATCTCCACGGTGCCGAATTGCTCGACCAATACTTTGATTAATAGCTTTCCAACAAGTGTTTTCATAATAGGCTCTACCAGCAGTTTCTCCTGTTGTAGTCGATTTTATTTTCATTGAATCCAAATAACGCATTTTTTCAATCATTTCCGATGAACCAATATTGGGATAAGGCATACCAACAACACATACACATCGAGCTAATTCATCAGAAAAATTTATTCCTTCACTCATTTTTCCACCAACAATTGAAAAAAGTAGACCACCAGTACCACACTAAATAAATGATCGAAAAAGAATTAAAAATACAATATAAAACCTATCGAGAAAACTTTAATTGATTTTGTATAATTCGTAAGAATAGTGTCGACATCACTTGAACGCTTTGGTTCCATAAATATCTAAGTATTTAGAAAGAAAATAGTCAAAGAATTTCTAATAACGTTAGCGTGTTCTAACCTTCTTTTTGGCTATAATCTTATTCAATACAAATGTTTTTTCAAAATACGCATAAGCTTTTTGTAAATGATCGTATGAACAAAAAAAGATCACAACACCATCCGGTATAGTAGAACAAAGTGCTACAAGAACACGTCCTAACTCATCCATCTTAATAGAAATCTTTATTCATAAGAATTGATCACAGAAAAAAGAAAAGAAAATAATCATTTTCTATTGCGCTCACCATTGTCGTATTCGAACGATTGACTGCAGTAAATTCAAATTCAATATTTTGTGGACCTGATGGAAGTGCTATAGCGAGTACATTTTCTTCTGGAACAATGTGATCTAATTGAATAAAAGAAAAACGACAGCATTGAATGCAGAGAATTTCGTTAATAGAGGAGTTTTTCACTGCATGATAATTGAAAAATTTTTTCTTCAGGTTGACCACAGGCAAGAAAAAGATGATCGATAAATTCATTAATCTATTAAGAAAACAAAAATAAGAATGAGAGATCAAGATTAAGATCATTGTTTTATTAATTACTGGTCTCATCGTTCCACCTAGAAATTAATATAGAAAAATCAATGCTTATTTTGTAGTCAAAACAAAATCTCTATAAGAAAATTACCAGCTACAATAACTGAACGTGCTTCATTAACAATTTCGTGGAAAAACGATGACGTTTTAAGAGCAAAATACTTGATCGAACATTGTCCAAGAGTTTCTAGAAAATATTTACAATAGAATGAAAATTTTTTTGGGGAACATAGAATAATAAAAACCTTTTCTAATGAGAATAATTTTTCCATCATCACGTGGATTAGTTAGTGCTCCGAGAAATGTAGCAAAAATAGCAAATGAGTTTGAGATTTTTTGTTCAGTTGATTCTTTAAATATAAAGAAAAAGTGCAATTATTAAATAAATTGAATGTATAGTAATATTGTTCCTATATCTAAAATATCAAAGCGAATATGTTCATTCCATATAGAGAATAGCTTTCGAAACTGTTCAGCAACATTTGATTATCGGTTCGAATTTATAAATAAATAATTATTTCAAGACACCGCTTGTCTTAGTTTAACTATTTTACGTGTTCATCATTTAGCATATATAAGAGTAATTCTTCGAACAATCTAACTTCTTCATTATCATTATTAATTGACGATGCACTAATGTGTATCATTATTTCTCTACCTTTATTTAATTGATCTGCATCAGCAACGTTTTGCTGCAATTGTTTTTGCGTTTGTTTTTGTAATAATTTTTGTAATGCACTTTCATTAGTTTTCTTTTCTATAATCATAGAATGAAAATATAAATTTTACATGAAATAAATTTTCTTCTACCATCCAGTAATTGATTTTTATTTACAGGATATTTTGACATAAAACCGTGCAACTAAAATAAAAGTTGTAAAATATTGATTTCAACTCAATAAAATATTTACAAAGAAACCTTTTTAGTTATTTCATTTGATTTAATGTAATCAATAAGTTGAAATAGATTAACATAAATGCCAGCATCCGATAAATAATCAATTAGATCAACGGTTGAAGAAGTTTCTATCATGAATTTCAATCATACAAGAAATCTTTTGGATAGAAAACAAAGGCTATCCTACCTGTCTTATTCGATGAAGCTACGAGATTACTCCATTTTTCACTATCGTACACTATTGGCAGGTTTTCTTTTGCTAAATCGAAATTCAAAACAGATATTATTAGTTAAAAATACATAACTTATTCTTTACAGCAAAGGGTTTTGATTAAATTGATTTGTACATCTAATAGTTGTTTTATTGCAAGTAGATTTTTTGCTGTTAAACGATTTTTATATTTTTCATGATAACGTGATAATTGACCATAGGAATCGATTAACTACATTTCAAAAGCAATATCAAAGAATTAGAATTCAATTTTTTTTGCTCATTAAAATTAACCATACTTGATTTCCACTTATTTCGTTTGAATGCATGGAGCATATAGCATCTGGCAAATTATGTGCTTCATCAATGATTACAACATTATCACGCATTTCAATACCACATGCCTCTCTTGTTGATTTATGCATTAGAGTTTGATATGGTAAAAGAACAATATGAGCAGCTGCAATAGCTGCACGTGTTGCATAATAAGGACATGTATTTAATTCACGGCCCAGTTTAACAACGTCTTCAATATCTTGCACATCACTCTGATAAACGAATCAAATATTATTAAACAACAAGGAGATACTGTGAGTCATGTTCAATTGCATGAATCTTTGACAAAAAAGTATTTAGATACAAAAACTCAGTGAAAATAAAAGAGCTATTAATGTAATTTCTAGAGATATTTCTAAACATTTTTATGAGATATATATATACTCTCTTCCATATCCTCTTCTCATTTTCGATCTTCAATATATAAAAAAGCAAATTAATAAATATGACTGCTCTAGTTGAACCTGTTTTTTGCTTCGAGATTATTAGAATGAAATAAAACTATTTTAGCTATTTTAAACGTACCAGAATATCATTAGATAAACATTCGACTCGATCTTGTTGTAAAAATGAACAGCCACAAGCGGTCTTTTGTCGTTTTCCTGTTGTTGTTTTTTCTTTAAAAGAAGTTATCATAATAACATTCAATAAAATGATTCATTTAAAAATAATTTTACTTTCTTTTTTCTGTTTTTGTAAGTCAAGACATTTTTCATTAATCAATGCCAATGATTTCAGTTTCGACACAGACTCATTAATACATAAATTCTAAATCATAAAACTACTATTCGAAATAATGTTTAGACAATTGATACCTGACGTGATCCAAGTGCTACTAAACGTAATTGATCAATATATTTTGTCTTTTGAATTTCACCAATAAATTGTGATATTTGTGAATGTGTACGAGTGCAAAAGAAAATCTTCAATAAGAAAATTCTTTCAGATTATATTTCAAAAGACAATATTTTACTTTTTGTATATGTGCTTTTTTTTCTCGTAAGCCTATCGAATCAGTTTTTGTCGGTGAATCAATATCATCAAATAATATTTTTCGATCATTATCCTTTATAAGCAATTCTTCATCACTGCGATAGAAAAGGCACTTTAATATATTAAAAAAAGTTAGTATTTATACCTAAGTTCATCGTCATTATCAATTTTTAATTGATCTTTAGATGTGAATATATCGTCATCATCAGATTTTGATGGTACGTCACTATGAAATAAATCTCGATATTTTGCATCAAAATCGCGTTTCTATACGAAATTCGACATAAAATATAAGTTTGAAGAATAAAACGAATATACCGTTTTTTTAATACTAGCTGCTAATGTATTCTTTGCTGCATTTGCATATTGCTCTTCAAGATCAATTTTAACTTTTAATTCTTCCTAATTTGAAATCAGAAGAATACTAATAGAATTGTTGCATTGTCACAGAAAAATATTTTCTTATATGAAATAATAAGAAGCGTTATCGAACATACTCGTCTTTTTTCTTTTGCAGTTTCTTCTTCTTTACGTTTCATTAATCGTTTTAACCAATCATCAGTACTGAAACAACAGCACTGATACAACCGAAAATAATATTGGATTTGCATACCTGTTTTCATTTTTTGATTCGTTCGGTTTCTGTAATTCTTCGTATTCATCTTTCCATGATTGTATCTCATCAAATAGCCATCGCAGTGAACCACATATTAAACTCAAACTTTTACCCTAGAAACGATCCCCAAAACAAAAGCAGTCCCCAATCAATAAATAAACAGTAAGATTACGGTGCCAGTAGGTGATTCGAATATACCATGTTTGCGTTGTTGAATAGTCGAATAAAGACCACGCATAAATTCAATTTGAATTTGATAGGGTTCAAATGGAAATCCAAATGACGCTACTTCAACTAATAGGCAAAAAAAAGAAAGCGATATTCGATAAGAAAAAATTCTTGTTTTTTTTCAAATTACCCAATGGAACCGCTGGTTCTATTTTCTTCAGAGGAATATCATCACACACAGCAAGTAATTCATCGTCATCAATATCATCATCGTCAAATTTTGAAGATGTTGAATTTATCATCTGAAAATGGATCTCTTCATCGAAAAAGAATAGTATAAGATAAAAGTCATTATAATTATTATCATATATTGCTATAGAGAGATTGAGAGCAATCAAATATTTTGATTGTAAAGTTAACTTCTATAACAATCGTTAGATGATTTTCGCAAGTAGATTAAGTTCGTTTTCCTAATTCTCAAAAGGTAATCCATATTGAACTAAGTATGATAAAGATAATGATGGCTCGATAAGTAGAAGATTAGTACTTATTCGTTGTTTGATACGCAAAAAGTATTAAACTAGAGAATAGTGAACTGTGCGAATTATACATCTTTCTTTTGATAGATAACGAATATTTATTTATAGTAAAATTTATATACTAAACATAATACCAGAGGGCACCAGTATATGGTTTTGTGTACTCTAAAGTTTCCTTTGTTGAATTATCCAAACGCACGTTTCGAATCAAAATTTTCTATAATTCAAATTTGCTTATCTGTCAAGAGTATAGGTGATACAGCTTTTGTGAACGACTCTATGTTTTAGAAACTCTGCATTCATGATTTACATGAAAATGTGCAAAAAGAGATGACATTTTTTCTTTACTTGTTTCGAACGAATAGGTTTCGTTTTATCCTGGTGTTAAATAAGATTCTGTATTTCAAGAAGGATCAACATTCGACGACTACAGTTTAGGATCTGTTCAACAGAGATATATTTGATTCAATGACTGACCTATTATCATTTCAATTCGACAATATCAACTTTCTTGATCGTTTTCAATATTAATATGGTAATTATGAACGGTGTTTACGCGATGTTCTAAATAACATTCAAAAATTTCTTCATAGTTAGCTTGAACAATGATTTATACAGTTATTGGTATCAATGTTCGGTTACTTCAAAAGAATCGAATTTTGAATCCCGAACAAAGTATCTAAAGGCAAGAAAAAAGGATGATTTTCACAACTGCAAATCCTTTGTGTTGAGCATAATAAAATCGTGATAAGTTGTGTCATTCTTATTGTCAATAGAAATAAAAGACTTTTGGACGATTGTTTGTCTATTTGGAATTAATTGAAACAACTTTCTCAGAAGAATTATTATTAGCTTTGAGAGAACGTTCGCTCATTTTTGAGAGACTACACAAATATAAATTGTAGTTTAACAGCAAATGACTTTCCGAGGAATGCAACCAATTGTCCACCTACGGACGTATCGTGAATATGAAGAAAAAAAATTATAATAACTAGTACAAGATTGATCATGAATGTAATTGAATGAAATTATGATAAATAAAACTGCTGCATTGCTATTACGGGTGATAAGTTATAAAAAGTAAGTTATGTTGCACGCCTAACTGTAAAATATTGGTTTCATTTTAGGTAATCGAATCTATTCACATTGACAAGATTAGGCGTAGTTCATCAATTATTGCGTCATTTCAAATATTCATTAAATCCGATTTGACGAATGTTTACTGGTTGTATTTAAAAAATTATATTCAACGACAAAAAGCAATATATGAATCGTGAATAACCTTGAATAAATGAGCCTCTCATGAGCAAAGGACAAAGAAAATCATGATTTAACCAGTAGATGTAATTTCTTAAAAGATCGAGTACTTTTCTCAATATTTAACAATTTAATTAAATAGCAACAATCTAGACAAATCAACAAGGAAGCACACTTGAAAAATAAGTCTATGTATAGAAAGTTGAACTATTACATCAGTAATCTAGTTGTAAGTTATTCTATGAATGTTCTATTACTGTCTTTGATATAATCTTAGTAAAATAATTGTATAAAGCTTTTGCTACTAGTCGACTAAGTTATATAATAATAACAATATGAAAAAATGAAATCTTCTTAATTTTGACTGTCAAAATGTTGTGTTAATATCATCCTTGTAACTCAAATTTCTTGTTCACAAAATTTGCATATCATATCTCTGTCATATTGAGGAGTAAAAAAATATTTCTCTATAATAAATATTCATACTAATAAAAAATGAAAATAACTATAACAGTAATCACTCAACGGCGATATTTGAAATATATCTGCATAGATAGTTTCTATTCGCGAGTATATATATTCATAATACAAAAAAAAGTGTTCATTCAATGACTAACAAGTACATTCGAAAAATGATACAGTTCTTCTTTTGGTTCATAGGCACCTAATTCAGTGCCACACTCACTACATAACACAGGTCTTAATATATCATGCTCGTTTTCTGCTTCTTGTGCGTCACTGATCGCAAGAGGATCATCAGTTTTAAATCGTTTATTACTATTCTTCTTCTTTTGTTTCGATGATTTTTGACTGTTAGCCACCGTTACATGAACAGGGCGATTTTCATCGATTGCACAATTGAAGACAAACATTGCTCGATATTGATTTCGATTTGTTTCATGTCTGTAGAAAAGAATAAAATATCCGAAAGAATAACACAAAATTATTTTAGATTACCTCTGACAATCATGGCACACTAATACCATACAACCTGGACAATTGAGAACTGCATCAGTTGGACCAAGTGCTGATGCATCTAATTTCTCTATTTCATTGACTCCTCGAGATCTTAAGAAAACAATACTGAAACGATTAAAAGAAGCAACTACTATTATTAACTGTACTTGAGACGTTCTTTGGTCATCCATTTTTCATCTTCTTCTTCTTCGTCAGGATCGTAAAGAAGATCATCATTTATTTTTTCTTCATCATCTTTATTTACTACTGCTTCATCTAGAAGATTTCTTGTATGACAAATAAGCAAATTTGATCATAAAATAAATCACTCACTTTTCTCATCATCTTCATCATCACTATCATCTTCGTTTTTTTCATTAACTACTATTTTCTTTACTTCTTGTGTTTTTTGAGCTTAGTAATAGGTAAACAAAATTTTTATCAATTAGTAAGCTAGTAAAAATAAATAGAAAACTTACTTGATATGGGCAATTCAAATGTTCCACGTTTAATAAAATTTTGATAGATTTGATCTAATTCATCTTCCATTTCGTTAGCAAATGTATTTGAAGTAGTAGATGTCGATGATGAATCTTTTTTTTTTGCTCCTTGAGACATTGTCTTTTCGATAAACGCACGCAGTGGTCGATCGAATTCATCATCAGAACTAAATCGATATGAAGTTATTTTATTCTCAAAAATAAGAATTTGTAAACTATTGAACATTTTTTACCTGTCAGAATTAACATGATCACCAGTTATTGCAGTAGTACAAGGAATTTCGTCTTCATCGTCACTAGGTTCATTGTCGACTTCATAGCCAGTATAATATTTAAAACGTTGATCAGTCATTTGATCTGAAACAATGAGTAAAGACTATATTCAATTCATATATTATATTTTATTTTTCGAAGAATATTATTAGCTAATCGTTTTGGTAATGTTGTATTACATTATTTCTAGATTTTTAGGAAACTTTTTCTTTCTTCTTGACAAAAAAGTCGAACAGATGAATCATGCAACGCATGAATTAAGCAATAAATAAATATGAGATGAAAAAATCATCGAATAAAATCTTTTGCTTAGTATGACATCTGTAGACTAAAAACTTTCAATTAAAAATAGTAAAAACACGCAAACTTGTTGATCGCTATCTGTAATCAGAGTTGATGAATCAAAATCATAATAATAGTAAACTAAACAAAGAGAAGCACTAATTTTTATAGCTATCTATTAAATCAAGTAAAAATAATGAGAAAAATATTGGCACTCTTAACGTTTGATAACATCGGATCGGATGATTCAAAAAAGTTTTTCTGCCTCGAGATCATTTATTAATTTGTTTACTTCACTCATCGTAAACTTTCTAGAAAAGTTTAGTCGCACGTTCGTTATCCATAATATATTACTGAACTTGCTATCGATATAAATATCTTCAAAGATTCTAGCATAAAATAAATAACCTGTTTTCATTCAATTAGTATTAGTAAATCAAGAGAAAACAGGAGTTAACAAAAGAACAAATGATTTCTTTTATTAAAATAAAAAATTTACATTTATACTGAATTTTTTGTTTTCACTCATCAAATATCATTATTATTAATCAACGTTCGAAGCCAGATCAAATGGTTGATGCGAAAATTTCCATTTTAATCCATCATACTCAGCAATGTACGTTGCTAATGTTGAGTATGTTGCTACAGTACGATAAAATGTTTCAATATTCGGCTTTGTTCCTTTTATTGCATCGGTCAAAGCTAATAAACCTGGTGCATGTGTTACAATAAGTATTGTACGACCGTAACGACCATATCGGCCAATGATTTCTCGCATTACAGTAGCACTTCTTTCAAAATATTCGTCCAATGATTCTGGCGCATTCACTTTTGGAAATAATGATTTATATTCCGGTTTGATATTATAACCATTTTCCATTAATTCTTTTTTCGACATAAAACTATCGACTAACTTATGATTTAAATGAGGACATTCGAATAGGCCAGGTTCAATACGAATTGGAATACGATCACGATGTTGCATACCTATACAAAAGTATTTCCAGAAAAGTTGATATCAAGAAAAACGACTTAGACTCAATTATACCTTTTAGAATTCGTTCACCTGTTTGTATACAACGAAGTGCTGGCGATGAAAGACATATATCAACTGTAAGATTATTATTTATCATAGTCTGTCCAAGAAAACGAGCAGTTTTTAAACCATGAACTAAAACAAGTCATCGAACTTTGTAAGTTTCAAAAGACAAAATAGAAGATTATTTATTTGACCTGTTAATGGTACATCAAATTCATAGGCTTGATCAAAATGTCTTTTAGGTAAAATATGTGGTAACCTTGGATCGTATGGTTTATAGGTATTTGTTCTAAAAGCTTTTTTAAACCAATCTGAACCAAGTGCTTGATTAGCTCGTTCACCATGACGAATAAAAATAAGCCTTAACGGATGTGCCGAAAGGATACCAGCAGGTAGTCTACTGTGTTGTAGTAATGCTGGTGAATGAACGCGATGTGCACCATGATTTCCACGATGACCGGGAAGAATATGCCGAAAGCGTTTTCCATCGTTATAGCTAAAATTTTCATCTCTATCGTCATCGTCCTGTATGTTGCTGAGAGAAGCTTTCGCAGTAAGCTGAACTTTTTGTGATAATCGATGCTGAACTGGAGCAACTGGCGCTGGTCTTGATGATTGTTTTACTAATCGTTGTACAGGTTGTCTTGATAATACTGAAAATTCATCATTATCACTACTATTAAGATGATGTTTAGATATATTTCCAGGCATTCTGACAAATCCGTCAGTATCATCTTTATCGGAATCTCCACTATTCAATAATGATTTCGAAGCGCGTACAGAAGGTGATGCGAATGTACTATTATACTGATTTGTGGGTATTTTATGTAAATTTTGATGTTGAATATGACCAGCATTGTTATCCGATACTTTTCTTGAAAGTAAACGCGATTGAAATGGATGATTATTAATAGGAGTGTCGTTGTAATCATCAGAATTATTGTTAGCTAAATTCAATTCACGAAATATCATATCAGTTAAAGTGTCTATCATTTTTTCTTGTTCGTCTAATAACTCTATTGAAACACACTTGTCAAGAATCAAAGAAATGACACGTTGTTGTTCTCATTTATTCATTTCAACGAAATAATTTATATTTATACGCGTCACAGTTCACTGCTTTTTTGCGGCTGTCATTGTGAAATCACGTAAACATTACTGATACTCTATACATATATGCATAACAAGGAGGCTGTGTGAGAGAACGAAAATGTCAATATTAGTATTAAAAAATAATGTTTTTATCAACGAGAAAATATCAGTGAATAATTTCAGGAAAAAAACAAATTTTATCATTGATTAAATGAAACACTGTGAATTCAAATAGTATTTTTTTATTAAAATTAGTTGACCATTTCTAAAAACCGACAGCAAATAACTACTGTTCTCTAACTTGATCATGACTCATATTGACTCCAGAGAAATTTTTTTTCTGTCTCATCCGTATTTCACAATTTTACATCACATTTAGCTATATCAAATTTTTTTCTTTTATACAATTCTGTTACTCAGAGTTAGCCATGTCTTCATCATCTAAAGTTCTTAAGCATAAGAAAGCATCATTTTCTATTGATCAAGATTGTCAACTTGATGTAAAACGAAATATTCAATGTCAATCGAAACGATTGGGAGAAGAAGATAGTTGTTGGGAAGATACATTATTTTCTCTGAATGAATCACTTGAAATTTTAAAAGAAATTGGTGAACAAATTGTTCATTTTCCTCGTGAACAATTTAAATTTAAAAGTTTTAATACTATTAATCTTTTACCACATAATAAGACATTTTATGGGGATCTTAATTCAGATGGTAGTTGTAACTATTCTGATATATCCTTGATAAAACTCTTCGATATTATGAATATATATAGATATATAGATATATAGATATATAGATACAGATATATAGATACAGATATATAGATACAGATATATAGATATATAGATATAGATATAGATCCACTCTATCGATAGGAATCACAAAAAGATGTTAGTTATCCAGAGGTTAAATCATGATCACATGTACTTAAAAGATTATGATTATGAGACACTATATTTGAAATAACTGGTCAACATTGTAACCATTGTGTTGTTAATCAGTATGGAGGTAATCGTATGTTTTCTTCGATACTTGGTAGTAGAGCTATTTTTTTATCGATTGATAACCATGATTATATGGGATATTATTTTGATAAAACTGATGATTTTGTAAATGATTCAAATGTATTATACATTGACATTTTCATTTGGTTGTGAACGAGTTTTACGCTTAAGACATAATCAAAGCAAAGTTACACAAGATATTCATTTGACATCGGGCTCGCTTTTCGTATTTGGATGGAAAACTAATTCTGTTTGAAAACATCTATTGTTAAAACGCAACGTCATGTGAACGACGTATTGACCTTACATATCGTCTCATTAACACTATCATACATAGAGATGGTACACTTACTGAAATTGATGATTCTAATTTTTCAATTCAAAATTATTTCAATAATAATTCTAATGAGAACGAGAACGAGAACGAGCACGAGCACGAAGTAAAAAAAGATAAAATTATATGAACAAATCGAATGATATTTAATTTTGTAATTGTAACTAATCGTGAAAAGTATATATATATGTTGTGGTCAAAATTCAAATCCAGCCAAATTTTAAATTTGCCCAGACAGAATTCAAATTAGAAGTTTGTCCAATATAATCTCCGTCAAAATTCTAATTTGAATTTGGTCCAGGCAGAAGGGTGT